GAGTTGCGGTGAGAATCTACGTCGATATTTGGAGAAACGAGGTGGGGCCATTGGCGGTGTTTCCATGGGACTATTGTTACTACATCTTTTCTCACTCGGATTCAATAGTTGTCTATTCTGGGGACTTCATCAACAATCCCGTTATCGTTATTAATCAACCCTCTGGAAGAGCAATTTGATTAGTTAATAGATTATAATGGAAAATACCAATCATCTAATTCAACTTTGCGACTTTTGATTTCATTTCATTGATTAGCTTTTCGAGAAATTTATTCACAATTTATCATTTCTTTTTTTTTCTCGATTCACTTTAAATCAACATTAACAAAACGATTCGTTTTTTTTTGTATTAATCAAAATTTAAGATAATCTTTTTTTTGAACAATTAAAGAAACTTTTTTTTCACTTCGATTGTTTCGTCTTTCGTATAATCTTTATTTGATCTTATTTCGTTTTCGAAATGTTAAATTATTCCATAGTTTCTTTTATCCATGAGATTTTCGCTCTAACATTAGCGTAGACTGCGTTTCCATCCTTATCCCCACAAACTGGACCAAGAATTGTTCCAGTAGTGACCATACTTGCGATTCCAAAGAGATACCAAGTATCGTCCACTTGACAGACCAAAGGTCCACCCGAATCACCGCTACAAACTCCCAGTCCATGTCCACCGACTTTGATACAAATCTGAGAGTCACTTGATGTATCGACTTCCTCAGCATCACCCATAGACTTTGAGCAAGCATTTATATCATCAATTTCAACGATTATCTGCTTGAGAATACCACTGCTTCCGGTTCCTCGAGTTGCTCCCCATCCTGTTACAAAACATTTGGTTCCTTTGGTTAATTTTGTCTTCGAATCTGCTAAACAAATTGGATTAACAGCATCGGTTATTTCCACAGGAACACTCAGCTTCATCATAGCGAGATCATTGATGTGATCGAAATCACCGGTTTTCACTTGAAAAGGTATATCACCATACTGAGTGACAGAATCTACTGAGCGAGTCTGTTCAGTTCCATCATTTTTGAAGGAGTTATGATTACCAAGAACAACTCGAATATCTGAGGATCGAGTAACTCTGTAAGATTAATCATGAAAAAAATCATGAGAATATAATTAATCTGAATTGATAACAAGTTTCGGCAAAAAACTTACGCGGCAGCACAATGGGCTGCAGTTAACACATATTGAGGATGGATTAAAGCTCCTCCACAGTAATGCCCTGAGGGCCAGAGGAATCGAGCTTGAAGATCAGCCTGCCAAGGCCAACTTCCAGGAATAACAGGATCACCACCAAGAATTCTGTCCGTGAATCCACTTGTATCTGGTTTGATTTTTTGTTTTCCACATTCATATTTAGGTAACTTTGCCTTTTTACATCCTCGTTCATCAGATCCATCGGTACATTCATATTTACCGTTGCAAAGTAACGTACGAGGGACACATTCACCTGAGAAACACCTAAACTCTTGATTTGAACATTTGTCATAATTTTTCGAGGTTGTCCAGGAGATATGGAAACCACGGCCAGAAAAAATATAATCGCTAACAAATTCAATTTTCAACAAAGAAATTTCGGAAACTGTCAAGTCTTTTGGTTTCCAAGTTCCACATACGCGTTGGACTAGCGCTTCTTGAGCGAGTGACGATCCATAAAACGAAAGCGAATCGTCGTCACATCCAAGTGATTCGTCGAGATCCAAATCTTCAAATTTAACTGTTAAATACTATCAAAGAAAATGGAGAAAAACAATTAAGTTGAAAGTAGAAGCTCACAATTAGTAAATCGTCATCATATTGGTAGACATACCTGTCCATCGGGAATCAAGATTGACCATTTACAATCAAGCCCTTCGGAATAAGATTGATTAGAAAGGTAACCGGGGCTGTAGATATGCCCTGAGGGCTCTGTAAGTATATAAGGAACATCTTTGTTACAAATTGAATCAGGAGCAATCGATAAGCAATTAAACGATTGGTTAAAAGTGATTAGAAAACTTAATAAAATTAAAACTCTCATCGTTTATGGTTAAAATGGAAACAACAATTAAATTGGAAAGTTAATCTTGTAAATGTGATTTGTAAATTTATTTTTCTCTCCATTTGATTTGCTTAATTATCATCGGAAAATTAATCATCAGATTGTAATAATCAAATTTGTTCACAATAAAATCAATTGAACTTGATAATTAACAGTGGATTCAATTGTTTCAATTGTTATTATGAACAAAGAGGAAACAATTAATTGATGAGAATTTAATTGATTGGTGGTAAAAAAGTGATCATTGTGATTAAATGAATTGTTGAATATAATCAATATTGGAAAATGATTGTAATCAAATCATGAGATTTTTGTTTCAATGTTAATTGTAATCTGATGAACTAAAGATTAGCTATAAAGACAAGAAATGATTTGATTTTTTTTCCTCTCGTTTTATTAAAATAAATTAATCATTAAAAAATTTTCTTAACTTATTGATTGTCACAATTATCTTACAATAATTTATTGATCAGATAAATTGTTCAAGATTTTAAACAAATATCACTAAAAATCAATAACGATTTTCCTAATCTATTGATAATCAAAATGTACATAGATTAGATTAAGATAATCCATTGACAAGGCCATAGATAACCAGGGCTAATAATAATCACAATTTTAATTGTTACCCATTCATTAATTAGAATAATTATTTTTTCAATTCTAAAGTTGAATTTGAATTTACCGCTTTTCTAATTATGTTGATGTGATTCAAGTGGAATTTTTTTTCGCCATCAAAGTGACTTTTTATTTCAATGTTTTCTCAGATTTTGATTAAACTGTTGACACTTTTTACTGATGGAAAACAAATTTTCAGTCTTTAGATTACTGAAAGTTATTCTTTAATCGGTGATTGAGATAATTGTTATTCGGTTTTAATTGAATTTCCAATTGTAAACATTTAATTTAATTAAAACGAAAATAAGTTCTCAGCGCCATCTCTTGTTCTCTTGACTTTCCCGGTCTCTTATTGGTGAGCAGAAAGTGAGAAATTATTTTAATCCAGTCTCATAGGGCAAAGTCTGATCGTTTTTAGGGTTGATTCTTATTTTCCTGGTTTATCAAATTATCTGATTGATTTGTGTTTTTGTTTTAATTTGTTGTGCTCTCCATTGGTTTAGACTTTGATTTTAATTGTTTCTCTTTCATCTGCTTCAAAATGACCAAGAAAAAACGAGGTGGAAATTCAAAGAGAGGTCGTAAAGCCAAGGAAGAGGAATTTACTGTTGAATCAATTGTTGACCGTCGAGTCAATAGTGAAGGTGTCATTGAGTATCTTCTTAAATGGGTTGGTTTTAGTCATGATGATAATACATGGGAACCTGCTGATAATTGTGCATGTCCAGAACTAATTGAAGAATTTGAAAAAGAAGCCAATCGCCGAAGGAACATTACTGACATTGATCTTGATGATACTGATGCAGAAGATGAAACTGATAACGCCAATAGTAGTTATAATAAAAAGAATCAGAAAAAGGCTGATGATTCTGAAACTGAAAGTGAAATGAATGAAAAACCTAAACCAGCTTCACGTAAATCTCGTAAAAATGGAACCCGATCTGCTTACAAGGAAGATACTACAGAAGATGAAGAAGATGACCTTATGGAAGTTGATCGGTCAACCATAAGTAAAGACAATATTGCCTTGGAAGAATCGGAAGATAGTCTGGATTATAATAAGAGTAAATATTATAACAAGGAAAATGATGCTTCTAAAATTCAACCTGAATTTGAGATTGAAGAAGATGATGATGACAAAAGATCTGAGAAAAAAGATCCACCTAGAGATAAATTTGATGAAATTATGTTCAAAACTACTTCATCTCGCTCATCTTCAGCCATCTCACCGACTACACCTACTAATACAATTTCCGAGAATAATTTGGCCGCCGAAAGAATTTTAAAAGCGGGTCTACTCAAAGATGGTAAAATCCATTTCATCGTCAAGTTGGAAGGTCTAAATGAGCCTCAAAGATATTCCGCTGCCGATGCTAATAAGCTTTTCCCTCAAGCAGTCATTTCTTATTACCAAACCAGAATCAGATGGGAATGAGAAGCTTTTTTATAATTTCAATTTACTCTCCCAGTTGATATCACTTTTTTCACATTCTAATCCGATTTTCATTCAATTTTCAACCAACTTTTCTCTCTCTATCATTGTCACTCTATTATACTATCCTTATTTTTCCCAAGTCTTTTTCTTATCCCATACATGATGTTACTTTATTTTTCTTTCTTCTGACTTGAAGCTTTAAAACTCTCTCATTTGTAAGACACCAAAATTGTTCATCTCAAACAAAGAAAGTCTTCAAAAAGCATGAATTTCCACATGTTCCAAAATCATTAAAAAAAATTTTGACATTTGTATGAAAATTTCTTTAATTATTAGACTATTCTTTTTGTTGTAATTAATTTAATCTGAAGGTTTGACATTGATGGTGATTGTTGATGAAGGTGAAACAACAAATCTAAAGCCGGTCTTCAACCACGCGGTCCAAGTAGTAACTGTAATAACAAGAAAAGATTTTTTAAGATTAATCACTTGTTACAATCAATGTTAATTATGATTCTATGACTGTTACCTGTCTCTGTAATTCTTTCTCTATTGTTGACCTTTCAATTTCCACCCAAATAGGTCCAAACAGAACAATACTAGAAGTAAATGTAACCCAAACAGATGACCGACTAAACTGATAAGTAGCTTTCACTGCTCTAATTGTACCATCGAAAACGGAATAAGATGCATTTCGAACACACTCAGGGAACATTTCGGTTAAACCATAAAGTCTCTCAGCAATGGTTTCATCAATGTCCGGCTAAATAGAATAGAATAACAATGGAAAAAAGAAAAAACAAATTAAAAGAAAAGAAAATGTGGTTAAGGCGAAGGTCGTGATCTCAAGGTAACATTAGACAGAAAAGAGAAAAAGAGAACAAAACGAAAAAGAGAAAAATGATCCAATTACTTACATCATCTTCGATTGCATTCATTATTGGAAAGTAAAGTAATGCCAACAAAAAGAATAGAAAAAATTAGCGACAATTTAATTAATTACTAAATAGAATAAAAAAACAAAAAATTTTCTCCAAAATTAAATAAGAAAATCGGACAAATTTTCGCGTCGAAAACCGGAACCGGTTTTTCCAAGAACCGAACAATTTTAGTTACTGTTTCTATCGGCAGATGTCTCACTGATTTCGATTTAAAATCAAAACAATCAAGTGATTCTTGTCTTGATCTCGACAAGTTATTTACAATTGAATTGATGTTTAAATGACTGTAAATTCAATGTTTTCTGTTAAATTGTAAAAGTGAAGGTAATTCATCAAGTGTTTTCTTGGAATTGTGTCAAAGTCACAAGTTCTTCTTGAACAATTCAGATTCTATTGATTAATGTTTTTGCCATAGAAAAAAAAATCAAAACAAATAATGGGCGATGATAAACAATTGGGTCGGACTGCGGTCAATTCTTCGAAGTCAATTCCACCTCCACCACCTCCTCCTCCTCCACCTCCATTACCTTCAAGTGTCACAAGTAAACCTGCACCTTCCTTGTAGCGGAACTTTCAACCGTCTCTCTTAAACACAGGCCACCTCCAACCTCCAAAAGTAATAATTTGACGCAAAGTAAAAAAAATGTCCCAATGGTTCCCGGTGGTCCATTTAGACTACCACCAGCTTCAACTTTGAAAAAAGTTCGCCCACCACAACCGCCATCATCTTCATCCTCACCATCACCATTACCATCATCATCTTCATCATCAGCTCAATCTTTACCATCAGCAATTAATTCTGGCAGATCAATTGATCCTCTTTTAGCTGAAATCTCTGCCGTTTCCCTAAAGTCCAGGTCAACTCAAGGTGGTAAAAAAAGTGTCTCCAACATTTCCAATACCTCGAATGACACCTCATCTGGTTCATTTAAACAACCAGCACCTTCAACTTTACCCAAGAAATTTCGTCCACCATTACCACCTCCACCTCCACCATCAGTTCCACCCTCTGGATTCTCAAACAATTCCAATGGCTCAAAATTCATCCCTCCTCCACCTCCTTCCCAAGCCTCTTCCAGTAGCCTCAAGAAACCTGCCCTTCCACCCAAAAAGATAATCAATCAACCTGTCAATACTAGCGAATCAGATAATCGACCTGCAACATCCACAACGAACTTAGAGTCGCGATTCCGTCACATATTTAAAGATCTCCACACTTTACCTGCTCCAGAGCCTTTTCTTAGCTCCAAAAAACAATATCCAAGTGAAAGTAAGTCCAATAATTTGTATCATTCATCAAAATAATTAATTCGTATCCTTTTGTTTCCATTTTCATCTACAGGGAAACCCCGAGGTCCAGCTCCACCTATTCCTTCACGATCAACCTCAATTTCAAATCAAAATGACAACAACGAATCAAATAAATTCAACTCAACGCCAATGCTTCATGTTCAACTTGAACACCAAGCTCTAGGTGTAAATTACAATACTAGATACTAACGAAAGAGCCTCTGGTTCAATCAAAATGAAAAAGGTAAATTCAAATTCCATACTCACAATATATAAATAAATTACTCTTTGGCAATTATTGATTTCCTGGTTTTTCTCTCTATCTCCATAGATTATCGTTTATTTTGTTTTCCTCTTCTTCGTATTTGGATTGTACAATTAAAACACAATTAAGAGAAAGAAAGAGCTAATTGTTTTAACGAAAATGTTTCCAGTATAAATACAATGTAAAGAACTTTGGTCTTGACGATTGAACGACGTTTTCAAATTTTAAAAATTCTATTCAAACGATTCCCGATCAACTTTGTGATACAATTAAAAGACAAGAGTCAAGATTAAAAGATTGTTTAATTTAATTAGATTAAATTATCTTGATAAATACAAGTTTTGATGGAGTTTTTTTTGGCTTAAGAAAAAAAGATGAATAATTAAAGGTAATTAGTGAGCCCGTTTAACAGGCCAAATATTAATTCCAATTTTATCGCCATTAGGCTCTTGCTAATTATTATTATTATGACTTGATGATAATCAACCGTTTATGAGGTAAAACAAAAACAAATTGTTGATATGAATTACGATTGATTGTTGATTGTTGGCTGATTAGTTGAAAACAACTTCCAATCTATTTGTTGGTGATGAGTTTCTTTCGTCTTCTCCATTTGCTGAACAAACTGGATTAATTGCTCCATTAGAACCATTATTAGTTGATTCGATTAACGATTGACCAACTTCCGAAGAGCCTAAAATGATGTAAATTGTAAACATAAATTATCATTTTATTAAATTGTTACGAAATTGTAATAAATTAGTTAATAGGAAATTAAAAAAACTACATCACAATTAACGTGATTATATTGACATTTCAATTCCAGTCAGGGAATTGCTATCAACCAATATCTTGAATCTCATCAAAGGAAAGTTAATTGTTAGTCAACTAAATTGTAACATTGATTATTAATCACTTTATATGTAAGAATTTCTAATTTTTTTCAATAATCAATCAATATGATTAAATTTTATTTAGGTAAATTGTTTGAATCAATTTTAACCGGCGGGTGAGAAAACTTTAATTGTTGGATAATCTTTAAGTTTTCATGTTTAAGGTTAAAATTTAACTACTAACTTTGATTATTTGATTTAAATTAGCCTTAAATTGTGAACAAATTAGGATAATTTAGTTGATGATTAACGTTAACATGATTAAGTTACCCTGATTTTCATGGTTGGTATTACAATTTAAATTACAGTAGTTACGAGATTAAAGCATTTAATTTCAATCTAATAATTAAATTATTGAACAATTTAACTTATTCTCATAATGATTAAACTTAATTAATGGATTTAAGTTCATCTTTTAATCCAATTAATTGTAATCCAAGCATGGAAAACAATTATATAATCATTAATTGTATCTAACAGGAGACAATTAATCAATGACAATTCATATAAAATCAACGGTAATTGTAATTGGATCAGATAATCAGGAATCAAATTACTAAATTATTGACTAAATTGAGTTATCAGCTGATCTAGTAACTATCAGAGGTTTTTAATCAATAATTAACTTGATTATAAATAAATTAAGGCGTGTTGGTGATGGTTTTAAGCCATAATTAGTAATTAAATTTTAACTAATTATCTAATAGTTTTCCATAATTAATCACAATTAGATAATCATAAGCCTTTATTAGTCAATGAAGAAAAAGTTTCAATCGGTTAATGTAATCATTTTAATTGTAGTAATCAGTAAATTAAGATTGGTTAGTTAATCAATTTACTAATAATAATAATATATTCCAACACTAATAGTAAACAATTTGATTAACTTTTTACCGTTCTAATTATAATACACAAATATCACTAATTGTCAATTTAATCAACAGAAAAACTGTAAATCAGTGAAAATAAATCATTCTGACCTAATTTAATTGGGTCCGTTTACACTGATATTTGATTACAATTAAAGTAACAAAAAACTTGATTAACCAAGAAAATGAAACAAAGTGTTAAAACAAAACAATTGATTCCAATCAAATTAATCAAGTTTCTAATTACAGATTGATTGTTTTCATTCATTAGGTGACATTTATAACGGTAAAATTTAATTCCAATTATAGTTGATAAATGTTGTTAATTTGATTTCTTACTGTAATTGTCAATCAGATTAAATTAGATTTCCTGTTGAGTTAATTTTTCCGTAATTGTTTATTGTTGTTTCATTTAATGTTTACAACCAAATTAACAGGATGTTTATTGTTGGCTTGGCTTAATTATCACAATTTAAATCATCATTATCATCAAACAATTACCAATGAAAGTTAAATCATCAACAATTACGAGGATCAGATGATTTAATTTCATTTTTTTTACTTCTATTATTTCAATTACAATTAATATTACAACTTCTTCAAGGTTTTCATCGTCTTTTGATTGTGTTATTTAAATGGCAACAATTAGTTAAATTGTTTACCAAGTTTCCAATCTTGATGATGTAAATAATTTTACCATCAAAGGCTTCAATTGATGATAATTAATTGATTTGTTTAATTACTTGTTAGATTGTCATTGCTCAGGATGAATCAATAATCATCATCTAGCTGATTAATTGTGATTAACATCACTTTAAGTGCTCTAGATTGTAATGATTAAAAGTTTCCAATGTTTCTTTCAAGGTAATTAACTGGATGATGAATAAATTGTTTAGGATAATTAATCAGTAATTGTTTAAACTACTCATCATTTAATAGGATGATTATGGTAAAGTGAAACAAGTCAAACCAATTAAGTTTGTCACTGGACAGATACAATTAAATTGTTGCCAATTAACCTTTTCAAAAGTCATCACAATTTAAACAATTTAAGGTTAATTTTAATATTCAATTTTTATCATTAAAACGTAAATTAATTAGTTAATTAGATTAATATTAATACAATAATGTTCACTACTCATTGAATGAGTAAAAGTAATTATTGTTTCAACAATTAGCACGAAAACTATTTCAACGTCTGAGACTCGTTCATACAACAATTAACGTAGCAATTAACTAATAACTTTCATTTTTCTTATTCTAATTACTTTCAATATCATAGAAATACTTAATCACTATTAAGAGATGAAAAGTCCACTCATTTGAATGAATATAATTCTGAATCGAATATGATATTTACAATTAACTAATTAGTTATTTTGGCGGATATTTTTCTCAATTCTATCGAGGTAATTAGCTAATTCGTAAGGCTTACAAGCGGTAATTAACTTACCTTCATTTGTTGTTCCAATTCATCGAGTGATTCTTGAATCCAATTACTTTCAACATGACACAAGTACTTAATCACAGTCGCGAGATGAGAAACGGACAAAACAACGGCCAAACAACGAGCCTCGAGTAGCCGAGCGTCTCCATTGTACATGGACTGGACAACATCATCGACACGTGGAGATATTTTCTGAGCGATTCTAATGATCTCCCATAATTTCCGCTGTTGGTCATCTTGATGATAACTATTGAGAGCGGCCATTGTTGCCTCAACAAGCCGACCAGTCAAATGATGGCAAGACTTAAGGATAGCCAAACAATGAGGTATTAGTCCGGTAACATCATCGACCCAACGAGCATCGGCCAAAATTTTATCGATCTCCGGATGAATGGCAACATCATCGAGCTCAATTGAATTTGATGGACCAAGTGAGTGACCATTAACTATTGTTTTCGATGAGGATGAAGATGGACCAAGAAGACCAGCATCAGGAGCAGCATCGGAGGACAAATTTTTGAATAAAAAGTCACGTCGGCAGTAACGTTGTTGACAGATGACAATTAGAGCTGCAAGTGAACCAAGAAATATTAAAATTAATATTCCAATGGCAAAGATAACAACAGTTTCCATTGGCATTTTCAATGACCAATCAATGGTCAATGTGGTCAGTTAATCAAGAGTAAACTATTCAATACTTATTATATTATAATATATAAGAAAAAAGGTAAAAGTGACCAAAACAGAAATGATAACAAAACGATTAACCATAAAAGTGACGGGAACAGGGAAAAGTAAATTGTCAATAGTTAACTGATTATATTCACTATTTGGTTACTTGATGTTCACACCTCTGGTTACAGTTGAAGGGACACAATTAATCAACGATTATCAAGCTAAATTGTATGTGAACGTTTAATTGTGATAATCAAAGATGAAACATTTGAAACTTGTATCACAATGTTTAAGGTGTTTACCTTTTTTCTTATGAGTTTATTTCTAGCGTCAGGTAACCGATCATCCTAATCATCATTTCCAGTTTTCCCAAGGAGAAGGAGAAAGTTCAACGATCCTCATCATCTTCAGGGTAAAAAAAATGACCTTTGTGGTTGGTGGCCGTTCCCTCTCTTTCTTTTTCTCTTTCTTTTGGTAACTTTTCTTTTCTCAAAAAGTCCAAACTGGTTTAGAAAAACTTTCACATTTCTCTTGAGTATTTATATTATCATCATCTTCCTCTAACTTGTAATCATCTTTCAAACAATTTAAACTAAATTACTCTAAACAATTGTAGAATCATCTCTCTTTGGTCAGTATAATGGCCACTGGTCAGTTTCTTTCATTTTCATTCAGGATCAATTTTTGTAGCATTAATTGTTTTCTCATCATAAATATGAATCGATCATTAGTTTTACTCTTAATTGTGAGTTTCCAATTAGTAAAACTTTATCATAGTATAAATAATTAACTTCGCGTTATTACTTTTGATTATTTAGTGGATTAGTTTTTCAGATTAATTTTCACTCTCGTTGATCAGTTAATCACATTGATAAGTAAATAATCAGTTTTGTTGTTGTTGTTGTTGATTAAGAAAATCTTATATTTAAAATAAGTGTATTATTCAAATAGTCCAATTGAATGGTTGAAGATTTGTCATTTACAATACAATTGAATGAAAACTTTTCAAATGTTTTTGTTTTTGTTTTCTATGAAAGGTTAAAGTGTAATGAGATCAAAAAAAGAAGGTCAAAACATGAATGAATTTACAGGAATTAGAGGTGATAAATATGATAGTTTTTGCAATAGTAGATTTTTGTTTACGTCTTTTTTGCATAGAGGAGAAAACTTTGATTTTGCTTTTCGTTTTTAAACTTGACAACAATCACAATGAGCCTTTGATTATAATTTGATTGGTGATTTTGATTGGACGTCATATATATCTTAATTATATCCATTGATTTAGTAACAATCTTCCGGAGTTGGATCGATAAATTTGTTCAACCAATCATCTCGCCAGAATGTTTCATAGCATTTAGTATCTTCGTCAAAAATAATTTCGCGATTTAGTTCAGAACATAATTTGGTTAATATTGCTCTTCCTTCATTAGATGAAAATGATCCGTCCAGGTAAAGTCTTTCGAGATTTTTACAGGCATCAACGATAATTCGAATGCAGGCCACAGTTATACATCGACTTACAACTCGAAGCTCTTTAAGATGTTTCAAATTACCAAATAAATGGCATAACGAGTCTTCTAACTGAAATGAGAAGGAAAATTTAATGTTAATCATTTAAAAATCAAAATTTTCGGTTAAAAGTGGTCAAGAGTAAAGGTAAATTGTTCGTATACACTTACTTTAGGTGTAAGAGATCCGTTAAATTGAAGTCGCTCAATTTTGGGACATTTATCTGTCAACACTTTAAGATCACATCCGAGTCAAGGCATAAATTTTTCAAATTGGGTAAGAAGTTCACTAAATACATTTGCATATCACAGGTTGCATATAATAATTCATCTTCCGATACATCATTGAGTCCACAATTTAATACATCGTCAAAAAATTTGATCACAAGAGTCTTTAGGTTCGGTAAACTGTTGAAATCACGAGCGGCTCTTATTGTCTCAACATATTCAAGGACCTCGAAATCATGAGAATCTAAAGTAGAAGAATATAATTAATAAATGATAAACGATTACTACTTTATATCTTTTTCTCTCCCTTGAAATAGAATCACAATTGAAATTACCATCTTTCTTATTCCATTCAAAATGTTCGAGTTTTGGAAAAGTGTTATGGAAAACAACCATCAAGGGGAAAAATCCATAAACACAAAGTCTTCGCAAGTTGACACATTTTTGCAGCAAATTCTCATAATTTAGTGGACTAAAGTAATGAAAATCGTCGACAAAATCAATATCCAACTCTTCAAGAGACTCATGGAACTGGAAGGAATCATCAATCTCGAAATTACCAGACAAATGAATGGATTTCAAAGAAGAAGCAATTTTAAGTCCTTGGGTTATATCGATAGTTGGCATTTCTTTGTCGAAATCTTTAGCTTTTCTAGAAAAAGTCAGAATCTGAAATAGAATAAAAATAGAATAATATAAGTATCGATGACCAATCAATTGTTAACACTTTTCTAAGTACCTTAAGATTTGGTAAACTTTCCATCAAGCGAATAAAACTATCTTCAGATAGAGTTGTGTCCGATACACAGAGGCCTTGAAGGTGCTTAAAATAGTCACCTGATATTCAGAGATGAAGAGAAAATCAGAAATTAGAAAAAAAAATAAAGAAAAATTTGATTCCAATGGTGAAGGAAAAGCGTTTAAGTTACCAATAAGATCATAAATGATAGGCCTCGAGAGCAACCATGAATTCCAATGCGCTTCAAATTGGGTAAAAGGCTGAATAAAAATTTAAGATTTCGTCTTCTCAATCGCTTGTTTTGAGCTATGACATTTTGACCTTCATAATCTTTGATGATATCACTAGAAACGTTGTCTGTATAATAAGATAGATAGAGAGAGAAAAGGTTATTAAAACGAAACAGATATTTCAATGTAAACACCAGACTCAAAATTGGAGCAACAAAGATAAACACATAAGTAGCTAGAGAAAAATAGAAAAGTAGAAATGAGAGAACATGAGAGAACATGAGTTTCCAATGAAGTAAATAGCACAATAGAATAGGAAAAACGTGATAACTATTCGAATGGGTGAAAAAATAACAAAGGAAAACATAATCTACATAGAAAACAGTGTTAGAGGTTAGAGTTGAACCCAATTTAAAGTGATCGGTGTTGTGTCACAATTGATGGAAAAGGTGAGATGATAATTACAGTATAAGGTTTCAACTTTGGTTCCAAATTTGAGAATTAGATTATTCCAATGGCGACAAACTATACAACAAAGAGAAGAAAAGAAAAGAAAACCAAATAAGATTAGACCAGAAATGGATTCTAAATGGAGAACTCACCTCGTCTACAATTGAGAACATCGTTTAAATTTGTAAGCGAATGAATTATTTTGACCAATATTTCATTGGGAAGATAATGAACATTCATTTTTTTCCTCTTCTTCTTCTTCAGTAGAACAGAATTAACTAAATTGTGGTCACTTGAATTTCGAAAACGTTGAATAAAAACATAAGATCAAAAAAATCAATGGAGAAGAAGAAATTTAAAAATCTAAGTTGGTGTTTATAGACAGAAATGATTAAAACAAAAAAGGAAAAGGATTTGAGACTTTATCTGGAATAGATCATGAATTATCTTGAAACCATCAACATCTAATTGATTGGTTGATTATCTGGTGAATTAAGGTTGAATTAACAACAATGACAATGGAAAAAAGCACAAAAAAGAAAAGAAAAAAAAGCAAAATGTAAACAAAAGCGTCGAAAGGGAAGAAGAGAAAGAGAAAAGAAATTGAAGGAAAGAGAAAAAGAGAAAGTGAGAGAAGGGAAAATCTGTTGAGAGGGGAAAACGAATTTCAAATGGACCAATTGGTTAATTATCTTCTCTCTAATTGATCGACAATCGAATGTTCAAATTTAACATCTTCGAAAGTCCAAATTGTCAAAGGTGAAAGTTAACAAAAATTTTCAAATTTTTTCTCCAATTCAATTAATCAAAGCGGCGATTTTTTTAATAACATTGATAATCCGATTCCTTGGTTTTCATTTTCTTTTTATTTAAAATACTTTTGAATTGTTTCCAAGTGAAAGATAAATTAATTGGCTTCACATTTGATTAATCACTACTAATTAGATGATTAGTGTAATACAGAAACAGAGAGAGAAAAAATAATTGCGAAAATCACTAATCATGAACAGGAATTTTAAAAAAAAGCAAAATGAGAAAATTAAATGAAACGATCAATTGATGTGAATTTGGTTGGAATGGCCAAACGAAGAAATGGCGAATATGATTAACGTCCAGTTAATCGTAACAATCGACTGTTAATTGTGTTGATAATTTACAATGAGAAACCAATTGATTGGTGATAATTTAAATTTACTCTTCCTTTCGACCATCTCGTCCACCTCTTTTCTTCCAAACAGCCGATTCATCAGCCATTGCCTGTCAACAATTAACAATACAATTCGATTAGTAAACAGAATTAACATGAAAATATAAGATCAATTCTCACCTGATTTAATAGCTTTTCGGCATCCGGATCAACGGCAGCGAGTTCAGCAAAATTTTCCGCTCCAACAAAACAGATCTCATAGTTATCCGGATCTAAGAGTATGAGGACATGAACATCGGATTTACCTGGAGTTGATAGAGTAATTAAATCGTGAAGGATTTTCAATCCTCTATTCTTGACCGATTCATTGATTTCCAATAGTCTTGGTGAAGGTACACCGAAGGCCATTCTACCCCAGCCTGTAGCATGATCGACCTGAGATTCAATACCAACAAGGTTAAGTTTACATTGATCATCAGCATAACCGAGAGTAACTTCATCATTAGATTGTGAATAGATGTTTAAACCAAGAAGACCAGACCAATAATCAATTGATTTGGTTAAATTGTTAACGGAAATCGATACTTGGGTAACTAAATCATTTCCTTTACGAATGACCAAAGGATAACCATCAGGATCTTTAACATCAACCTCATCACCGATCAGATTGAACTCTTTTTTAACACCTTCCAATGCTCGAGTTGATTCAATTACGATTTTCCTTAAATCATTACCAATACCATAAGAGGGAATTGGATAATTGTAAGTTAATTCAAAGATGAAATTGTCACTTTCTGGTCCATATCCAATCATTGTTTTGCTCCAGGCGTTTTGGTAAGGCCTAAAGGGGAAAAGATAAAATTAAAGATTACTAATTGTCATTGGAAAATTAACTATCAGCTAATCAATTGATTGTGAGTAAAATCGGGTGACAATCAATGACAAAACTGTTACAATTAACTTACCCATTACAAGTTGCTTTGCAACCTTCATCAAACTCTTCATGACGAAGTACCTGAAAGAGTGAAAACAATTAGTTAATTACGGGTAATTAAAATGTGAATCTTGTGACGTTTATGGTTAAATAAAACATTCTAAGGACATTTGATCAATTAGACAATCTTTAATTTGATTGCTGAAAGACACACAAATTGTTGACTTTGTGTTTTTGCTTGCAATTTTTGGAAATAATTGAAAGTTAAACAATTAAACTGTAGAATTACAATTAAATTTAATTTAGAAAAATGGTCAATATTTTTGGGAAGAAAATTGAGAAAAAAAAGAAAATTGTTCTTACGGTCATTCCAAGAATATCTCGATAGAATTGAATTGAACGAACTCGATCTCCGATCTTTAAACACCAATGAAGAGCTCGGGCCATGATCACAATCAGTTAATTGGCAATTCGATAACAATTTAAACTAAATTAATTGAAAGTGAAACAGAAAATGTGAAAATTTGATTGGCTCACATTGACTTTTAATCTCAGAAGATGAGGAAGATGAGGAAGATGAGAGTGACTTTTAGTTGCAGAAAATTAACTTACCATGGGTTAATTTGATTCTTTAAATTGGAACAATTTAACTAACAATTAGAATTATGATCTTTTGTTGTATTCCACAATTATAATCAAATTTATCGATGATATAAATGGATGAACGAAGGGAATTGTATATGAAGAAGTTTGATCGTAGAAGGAAAAAAAAAGTTGACAATCGTTGGAACGAAAAGTTTAATTGTAATGGATGCAGAGAATAAACTAATTAGAATAGTAATTAACTAATTAACACAGAATAGAATAGAAAATAGAGAAATCAATTTAATCATCTGTTTCCCCCTGAATTGTGAATTAAATGACGATTAATCAATGGGGGAAAATGAATTTATATCTCAATTCATGTCCTTCTCTCTCTCTGATTGATTACAATCAAATCATAGTTAATCTTTGTCTCTCTCACTGATTAAACAATTAAGCTTTTCCCCTGAACAATTAACATTAATCATCTTCATTAAGTGTCTTCAACATCTTCATGTCCAATAAAAATTAAACTCATTTTCGGGGCAAAAAAATGTCAACCAAAATTAAGATACTTAATTACTTAACTTTCCGTTGATTAGATACAATTAAATAACGTGTTGATTGTAATTAAATTGCCAGTTTTACTTTTGTCTCATCTTTATTATCATTGATTGTGTTTAATTATTATCTTAAATAATATTATGTAATCGATGAGGGACTTAGATTAATTATATCCAACGCCAATCAATTAGTTGATTGTCGTACCTGATTAAAGGGAACAAGTGGTAACAATTAAATCAATTGAAACAATTTACGTTCATAAGAACTGATTAATTCTCATGAAAGTGGATTAGTTATTAATAAATATCTTATTTAGTTGATTGTTAATCAATTCACGGACAAATTAGAAACATTAAGAACTATTGGTGACAATTAACATTTATTATCGGTGTTAATTAATCATCAAATTCGTGTGCAATTTGATTAACTACAATATTGTTAATTAATTCACATTCTTATTGATTTTTGTTATATTTTTCATGTCACTTAATCAGTTAACTATTAATAACAATTCCGTTGAGCAATTAATCCCTTACAATTAAAGATGATCAATAAAACTTTTTATTATTATTGATTGTTTACCTTAATTGTTCAATTTGATTACACGTGAATCAAATTGTTCATCAAAAATCGTAATTAATTGTTAACGTGAATTGTTCATGATTAATTTTATTGCCATTGATTTTTTATGATCAATTTTTGATCATACAAATTGTTACAATTACAAATCATCAATATTGATTATATTTTGATGGAAAAAAAGTTAAATTGTTTGCCAGAATTAACTCTTTCATGATTGTAATCAATTCATTGGAATTAATCTGATTGTCCATTATCAGGATGTAAATTAATCGATATAACGAACAATTTAATCTTCGAAATTGTGAAAATCTAATCAATGACAATTACCACTGCAAGTATTTAAAGCACTTCCAACCTACTCATTAATTGTAAGTAACAATCAAAGTCTAATAAAATTGATTAATTTTATTGATTTATTATAATTTGTACTTGGAAATTGATAAAATAAATTGTCAACATGAAAGTTAATTAACTTGCACTTTGAGAAAGTTTAACTTTTACCTTTGGTGTGACAATTAAGTTAATCAGCTGATTCATTGTAACAATTGACATTAAATGAGTCAACCTTATCAACCAGGTACATTGAAACTCAATTAAAAAATTAAAGGAAAGTAAATATTACAATCTAATTAACTAATAATCAAAAACCAAAAACTCAACGAGTTAAAAACTAATCGATAATTTTTCTGGTTCATTGATGAACAATCGATGTATCGATGTATCGATATTTTGCGAAAAGAATTTTCCGATTGTGTCTCCCTCTATTTTGCTGAATTCTAACTAGTCTCGACCTTCTCAATCTCAAGTTGATTTTTTTGTTCTGTTTATTGTTGATTAAATTTGATTCTTAATTTTAATTGTGTTTTAAACGTTTGTTTTAATTAATTTAAAATGAATTTCGCAATCCGTCGATTGTTTTCCAAAGAATTTGGAAATTCTTCAAAAGAGGTTATTCTTATCCTTATGGAAACAAATTCCTTGTTACTCCTCCTCGAACACCGATCTCAGTTGCTGAACGAATTGGTTTGTTTACTTTATTATTCTGTTCAGTTACTTCCGTTCCAATATGGATTCTGTATCATCTTCGACTTTACCGTAACCAGAGCTACGAGGATTGGATTGCTTACCAAAATAGATGGTCCAGTAAAGATTAGACGGACAATGGACCTAAATAGAAACATGATTAGTCTCAATAGATTATTGTATCCAATGTATCAACATTTTGTTTCTCTCCTTAAGAAGCTTTAACCTATTCTAGTCTTAATCGTAACCAATTTCAAACAAATGGACGATTTAATTTATCTAAACCAAATTCAATAAGAGAATTGATGCCGATTTAATTGTTCTGTCAATCAAAGATTGGAAACTATTTACAATTAATGTTTTACTTGACAAAATTATTAGCTAATTGTGTAAATTTTTTGTCTCAAAATCGTCAACCTTAAATTATAATTTTAATCGATGATTAAATGTTAGATATACTTGGATTTTATTAATCTCTTGTATGAATGAAGTAATTAAGTTGATCTAAATTGTCCGGGAAAGTAAACAAACCAACTGAATTGAAAATTAATAAGCTTTTAATAGATTTTCAATCACATCAAATGGGATAAATTAGAATCCAATATGAGTATAAGAAGACAATTAGTGTAAACTTGATACAATTAAGAGGACGAAATGATTTATACAAATTAAAAGAGGAACAAACAACAACAAAAAAAGGTAGAAAAAGCAATTATAATCGGTAGATTGGAATTGTCTTCGAGGAGGAAAAAAGTTCTAAGTATAAAAAAAGTTTTGTAAACATCAATTCGAGTGATGATTATTTGTTTCTTTCGGTTATAAAAAATACTGTTTACAGTTGATGTAATCATTTGATTCTCTTCCGACTCAATTTGATTGTTTTTCTGTGTTTTTTTTACATCCATTAGGTATTAGTATTGGAAAAGAAAAGAGAGAAAGAGAGAGAGAGTTAATTACTTCAAATTAGTATTTATATTATATAAATTAGTCAAGATAATTAAGCTAATGGAGATGGTGATTGTCCTCGATCTGAAGGTGAATTTTCACCGGCTAAATGTTCATGTTCAATTGAATGTTCTTCCCTCATGTGTTTACCAACAATCGGTAGAACTGTTAACCAATCGCAACCAATTACTACTAAGAAACAACCAACCTGAAGAAGAGAATTAAAAAATAGATTAGAATTGATGATAATCATGGTAAATTCTGTTAAACTTACTAGATAAACAACGAAAATAAGGTAAAAGATGACAAATATCAGCGTTAACAGGATGACCCACCACGTGACGGGAAAATTGTCTTTAACAAATGAGCCAACGAAAAAAATATTAATCGATATGACGACAATTGAAAGTATCGATGCAATCATTATATTGGTAAAATCGTTTCTAAATTGACCCATCACTTTTTTAGATGAGGTAAAGGTGAGTGTTGGTAACAAGGCAAAAGGTAATTGTAAGGACATTAGAGTATTTAAAAGGTCATTCATTCCCGTTAAATCTTGTTGTCGGTAGTAGGCGATAAAAAGAGTTGGACAAATGGCAATGGTTCGGGTGAGAAGGACTCGTTTCCATCGAGCCCAATGAAGGTCAAGAAAACCTTCCATAGCAAATTGACCAGAATATGTTCCGGTCATTGTTGAACTTTGACCAGCAGCAAATATACCGACAGCCCAAATGTAGAGAGCAGGTAAACCAAAGTAACAACCAAGATAAATTCCCTGAGAAATTGAAATAAATAACAATTTAAAAAAGAGTAATTAACCGTTGGGAATATTAATCCAATTAATATAAATTCTTACAGCTTTGAATAGATCAGCATCAACGAGTTCGTCATTATTTGGGAAAGTACCGTTAGGAATTGGATAATTGATTCCAGAGCATTGAGCATTCTGTAAAATAACAACAAAAGAATCACAAAATATTATACAACTGAACAGTTCGAACAATATTTAGGACAATTGTTCGAGTATTCAAATTCGCTTTATGAAAGTTCAAAATTCATTTGGCCACAGATTCATACAATCAAGAGTTAGAGGTAGACATTAAGTAAACTCTACAAATGGTGAATTGAAACTGAGTCTAAATTACAAATAAATTGATTGTGATTAAATACACAATAACAGTTGTTAGAGCTAATTGATCCATTTAAATTCATTCCTAAATTGTAACTAATTGAACGATTGCTGATTAAAGTGATATAAGAATTAGGTTCATTATGACGTTAGAATTGTTATCACGATAATTTCGTTTATAACCTCAAAGAACCTCAATAATTTTTCATCTAATTAATATAATTGGAGGTGAGAAATTTCATAGATTCGATGATAATCGTTAGAGTGTTAATGATTATATGACTTGATGATTTCAAGAAAGAGTAATAATATAACGATAACTACGACTGAAAGTTTTATGAATTTTGTTTTCTTCAAATAATCAGATGAGAAATAAGGTTGATGGATATTGATTAACTTCATGATGAATTGCATGTTAACATGATAATCGCTTTCTGCCTCGTCATTTACTGTTATTTTTCCTCTATCTCTCTCTCGACAGCAGAAATAATCAAACGTAGGACAATTTAATTTAGCTGATTGTTGTTGATTAAGTCATGCTATGGTTTCATGTTGCTAGAATTGAATAATTAGTGTTGACAAATATTACAAGAAATCAACATGACACATAATTGAGACTGACGTAAAGATTTGATTGTTAATTTGGTGACAATGTTGCTCCAATTAATAAATCATTAATTAGTGAAACCATTTCATCATAAATAATAAATGATTTTTGAGACAATTCAATTGATATTTTTCTGTTGTATTCCTATGAAACTATGAGTTCCAACTGATAATTAGTAAATCATTTCGGGAATTAGTTCATTCAACATAATTATTATTACATGACCTTCTAGACAATCGTGACAATATTTAAACAATTAACATCAATCTCCCTAGACAATCAATTTTAATTGTCCCGGATTTGATTTAGTTTAGCTGATTAAACATATTACACAAGATGAATTAGTTTAATTTTACCTGGTAAATTATCAAATATATCAAAACAAATCTCAGTTTTTTTTGCGTCAAACTAATTAAATGCCTTTAATGTTTGATTACAATTAAAATAATCAAACGATTAACAATATAAAAACACAATAGAGAAGTGAATATGAATCTAAGCTGATAAAACGTTAATCAAGAGTTAATTGTTCCCAAATGAAATTATTATAAGTGAACAAATTGTAAAAAGTGATAACTGATTCATTGTTATATTCATGAATCAGGGACAATTAATCAATAATTGAAATTATCATGATTAAGTTACAATCCAATATTAACTTGATTAGATGGTAGCCTTCATTGTAGATCCTTGATTTCAATTAATCAAGAAAAAAATGAGCAGCAAAACAAAAAAACTCAAGATCTCAAACTTGATTAGATTGAATTTCGTTGAAAATTTTTACGGTAAAAGTTTTAATTGTTAACAATTAAAAGTAAATAATAAGGTAAATAGAGGATAAAAAAACTCATTGATGTAACTAATCATTAACTATTATTTGTTATAAGATGAATATGAAAAAAAAAACAAACAACGATGATAACTACAGGTGATCAAATTAACAATCGACAGTGATTATCATCGATTGACAATTAATTTGTACAATATAAAGCTATCTCATTTGACGATAGTTGTTAATTGTTACTTTTCCATCAACAATTGAGACAGAAAAAAACAAATAGTTAATCATCAAGTGATGTATTCTCATGTATTCCAAGTGAATGAGAAAAAAGAAAAGAAAATGTCGACTAATCTTATTCGCAATCGAAAAAGTAAAGAAGAAGAAAAAAGACAGAATTAGGAAGAATTAGGAAGAAGAATAATTATCATCATCAGTATCATCTCTTGATATCGATGAGGTCCAAGCCATTTAAAGAATCAAAGAGCTGATAGAATGAACCGAAAAAAAAATTATTCTCAAAACAATCAACAAGTAAACAAGGAAACTGGAAAAGTTAATAGAATCAACTAATCAATTAGATGGTGGAAATCTATCAAAGAAAATCTTATTTCTTTGAGTACATTGAACCTCAAGTATTTTCGGGTTTGCACCGAGCAACAAAACACCACAAACTCACCACTTGAGAATTGGTGACACCGTACAATCCATGAGCAAACACCGATGTGACGGAAATGTTTATTAGCAGAGAAACTCCCAGCGCAATAAAGGCTTCAATGAAAACGTATCTATTGGCATCTTTCACCTCGGCGGCATTGGAGCGATCAATTTTCCTAGACTATAACAATGAAACAAGAAACGGGAAAAAAAATAACATGAGACAATAAAAGAAAATATCTTTCCATGAAAATGGATTGTAACAATTTAGCATTAATTGTTGGTTGGAATCACTCTTGTTGTTGTTGTTTACCTTGACTAAAGCCGAGTGAAGGTAAAGATTGTGAGGCATGATGATTGCACCTATTATTCCGACTGCTTGCATTAATGCTCCGTATTGACAGTTAGCGCACCAAGGAATTAAAAGTCCAGAACCAACGCTAACAGGGTCAGGTTTTACTCTGAAAAATTCATAACCAAAAGTAAAGGCCATGATGGTGATGAGTAGACCAAAGAAGGCTTCGAGTTTCCTTAGTCCATATTTATCCAGAAATAGAAAGGTAAATGTGTCACAGATCGTTATTAATACTCCGACAAAAACTGATATTCGACCTTGTGTAAGAATGTTTATCGCTATGGCAGTTCCGATAACCTCTTGCATATCCGAACCAATGATGGCGATTTCAATCATAATCCATAATAAGATCCTTGGTAATTTAGGATAACGACGATAACAAAGTTCAGCAAGATGTAAACCAGTTACGGTTCCAAGACGAGCCGCTAATCGTTGCATTAAAAGCCCCAAAAAAGTGGACCACATTAACACCCACAATAGATGATATTGAGCAACTGTACCAGCCTGAAGATCAGATTCAATGTTACCAGGGTCAAGATAAGCGATACTCATAAGGAAACCAGGACCAGTGAATTGCCATAATCGCCTCCAGCTAAAATTGTACTAAACAAGAAGCAAAACAAAAAAGGTAACAATCAAATTAATAAAATTGTCAATCTATTGAAGAAGATGTAAATTAAACTTACATCATTTGGAGGAGGAATTTCAATACATTCATTGAAATAAGTTTCTAATTTTTCTTATCATCAGGTTGAAAGGTTAAATCAGTTCGATCCACCTCATCATTGGCTTCTCGAAATGAACTTGATCTATTTTTGACATGTTGTTTATCTGAAGAGCTATTTCCACCTTCATAAACAGGATTAACTGCTCCATAGTGGATTAAATCATCTTTATTAAGATTAACACTGGATTTAGATTCATCCATAATTAGTAAAACAGGTAAAATAATCAAGGTTAATCCAAGATTATGATGAAAACGGTGGTGATTATATGGAGATGAGTAAACACTTAAATTGAATGGTTGGTTAATCTTTTAACCATTGGCAAACAATTGAAAATAATATAAACACTGAAAAAGGAACCAGCAAGATAATCAACTAATTAAGTACCCGAACACATACTAAATTGTTGAAGGATTTTCATTGCTTCTATAACGTTTTGATGATGAAAATATGATGATAATGATGATCCAAAATGAGGGAGAAAACGTTTAAATAGATGATATTTTTGGTCACCAGAAAGAGAGAGAGTAAACACAATAGGTAAGAACAGAATTAACAAAATTTTCCAACAAAATTGATTAAAAGTTTAATTAGTGTTAAATTACTAGTTGATTGATCAGTTTACTTTTTCCAATATCAACCAACCCAATAAAAGGTTTTCTAATATTCATCTCTCTCTCTCTCTCAAACACACTTTCAGGTAAAAGAAGCAACAACAAAAAGGAAACTCTCTCTCTCTCTCTTTTTCTTTGTATCTTTACTGGATCACAGTTAATTCACAAAGAATACAATTTACTAATTAGTTGTATTAATCAATTATTAGATAAAAATTAATTGAAACCTCAAGGTTTTAATGATAAGGATAAAATGAGACACAAATGAAAACTTAAAGGAACCATTGAGTCAAAAGGATCACCAGCTGATCGGAAGGCGGAGCTTAAATTTGGTTTCGTTGTTTTCTTTGAAATGTTTACCTTAACAATTTGATTACTTTTTTGTTTGATAATCAATTAACTAAATTAGTTTGGAATTGTAATTATTAGCGAATTGAATTAATGTTTCATCGATTAATTTGTCAATTAACACTTCAAATCTTATCGTTGGTTGAGTTTCTCTCTCTCTTGTTGATCAAATTACTTGAAGATAATTTTACTTTTAATTGATTAACATGATTGTTGTAAATTATGAACAATTAGATTTGTTAATTTTGTTGTTGTTTGGTATTGGTAGTTTTTAATTTCTTTCGATTAGTTGTGTTTTATGTTGGTAATTGATTAATGAATATATTGTGATTCAATTTTGATTGATTTACTTTTTGATAAGTTGGTTGGAATTGAAAAAGGAGACTGATTTAATTAGCAATTTAGAAACAATCACGATACAATTGAGACAATGGTGAATTGATTTAATTATCTTGTTCATTGAAGAAATTGTCAGTTATTGTCTATTGATCAACTGATCTTGATTGGTGATAATTTTCAGAAAGTTAAGTCAATGCTCTGGGAAAAAAATTCTGATTCATTATTTTTACCCCATGGATGGAATCGTATTGATTAATTTAAATTCATTGAAATCAATTGATTGTCCACAAATTTAATCACAATCACAATTTTCCATTGCTTGATGATTGAGGCCAAAAAAATCGCTCGATAAGAATAAGAAATGACCAAAATTTTCAGGAAAATTCGAGTCAACAAATGAGTGAATCTTCATTCATACAATTCCATAAGTTAAGATCATTAATCAATCAGGTTCAAACGAACGTAACTAAATTGATCAAGATAATTAAATATCATATCAATTTTTTCAGAGATAATTGAGATTCGTAACAATTAATCACCAAATAACAGTAGTAACTACTTACAATAACAATTTACTAAATATCTCTATTCACTTTTGAGTAACTTTTTTCATATTTGGACCTTAATTCATATATATATGACACTGATTAAAGAAAATCAATCAAATATAATAAACTTAAAATTAAATTAATTCGAGTAAATAAATTAACCTAAAAAAAAACACCAATTGATTAAAATACTTCAAATGAACCGTTTGAATTTGGATCGAATGACAAAATTTCCAATTGTCTTCTCACCCCATGGACGGGAATCATATTGATCACGCCACGAATAAATTGCTCAATGGACATTGGACAAAATTACGAAAAATGAATGAAAAAGACAACAATTTAATTCTTAATTCGATACAATTTAAAGATCCCTCACTTTCTACCGATCCATTGAAATGATGAAGGAAAATCAACCAAGCATGTGTGTGGATTATGATTCAAGCAGAAATAACAACAAACCATTTTGACATTTGGACGCTTTTAATTTGGTCATTTGTTTGTCTCTTTTTGTTTTCATAATCTTCTTTTATTTCTAATAGATTTAAATTGTTGGAAATGTCATCCAATTTTGGTACAGTTAATCCACTTCACTATTCCATCCCTTCAAGTCCCGAAATGACCGAGATCTCAATTGAAGAGACAAACAATGCAACCGATGTTGTTGTCACCAGCAAAGATAATAACATTTCCTCTCGTCCAGCGACATTACCTGTGTCCTCGCCCTTTGGCCCTCCTGGTTTACCTTCAACAACCTCATCTTATTCAACTAAAAATGGCATTGACAGTGAAACTAATCCATCAATTTCATCCAATTATCCACTTGGATCAACACCCAAAAGTACACCAATAGGTAATAAGGATAACCCAAGTTTCCTATTGACAAAATCATTTATAGTTTCTTATTATATTTCTCCGGATTTTCATTCATTTTACACATTAACCATTTTCTATCCAATTAATTGTGTTCATTTCAACCCTTCTATTCATATCACTATATTGATAAATTGTATTGATTGTCACTTGGAAATGTTTCTTTGTTTACACCTTCCTATAAGATACCATTTAAGTGGCAACACCTAAATTAAGTAAAGTTTAATGTTTCTAATGGTTTGATTTTTACCTTTTCTCATTTTCAGAAGCAATCAAGGAATGGTCGATAACAACATTTAAATGTACTAAACAATTGGTTAATGAGAAATTAGGAAAAGTTCAACGGACAATTGATACTGGATTAGAAAGTGAAATTGATAAATTAAGAGAGACCCAGAAAAAATATTCCCACATCTTGAGGATCGCTCGAGATATGTCATCGATGTATTCATCTCTAGTCCAACAACAGATTCTACTTTATGAATCGCTTAGTGATCTCTCATTAAAAGAGCCGAAAGTAGACACTAAAATATCTTCATCGTCATCGAGTGTTACATCAAATGTAAGTGGCGGTGGAAGTTCAGTTGGAGGTGGTGATGGAAATGGAGAAGATGTTAATAATTCACCGAGCAGTTTAAATCTTTCAGCTGATTTCCGACAAAATGCTGAAATGTTACGTTTGGTTTCCAAAAATGGTGAAAAATTGATTTTGGCTCTTCGATTTTTCTGCTCCAATTTATCAACTTTAGTCAATAAAACCATTGACGATACCATAGTTACGATAAGACAATTTGAACAAGCAAGATTAGAGTATGATGCTGAACGTAATAGCGTGGCAAACTTGCTACCAGCTCAAGCTGCGGCTGCAGCCAGCACCGAGAATCTAATCGCTGCTCGAGCTAAATATGAAAGACTACGACAAGATGTTATCATTAAGCTTAAATTCTTGGACGAAAATAAGGCGAAAGTGATGCACAAGCAACTAATTCTATTCCACAATGCCTTTACTGCTTATGCCTCTGGAAATGCTTCGACATTGGACTCTACACTTCGACAGTTCAGTATTAAAGCGACTCCTCAGTCTTGGCTGGAAAAATGAACAGGAAGAACAGGAAGAACAATCTTGTCCCAATTTGAATTCTATCGACTAAAATTAATAGAGAGAAAGAGAGAAAGATTAATAAGTGCAAACAAGAAAATCCAACAAATGGAACTGAAATAATTTGAAGAAACAAATCAATTCCTTCCACAATCAATTTCTAGTTGGTGATTCGAGACGAAAAATGAAAATCTTAAAGTTAACAGAAAGTTCTAATCATCACCTTCTCAATATAATATCTTCGTGGCTCAGTTACGTCTAATAAAATGGATTTTACCATTGAATCAGTTTCATCACACTAATTGCATTCGGTTAACTTGTACTTTAATTGTAGCTTTATGTTGATAATGAGATTTACATTTTGATTACTTTTCATTTATAAACCAATAAAAATGGACATTAACTAATCATAACACAAAACAGTAACATCTAAGCGCGTGCATGATGCGATTGGCACGAGGAATCTCCAAGAAAGTGAAAGAGAGACAGAGACAGAAAGAGAGAGAAAATAAAAAGAGATAAAATTGAAGAAAGAGAGAGAGGTAAGAAAGAAAAGAAAGAAATTTGAGAGAAGCGCAAATTCTGTACAATTGGGGACAAATTCGCCGCAATCTCGTGAGAATTTTTCATCTTCGAAGTCGACTTGGCTCAGAAAATTAACGTGAATTCGATTGCGGATTCACAAACTGAATGCAATCAAAAGTTTGCATTGATTTTCTTTGGTTTGATGATAAAAATCTCTCGGTAAGAATAAGAAATGGCCAAGATTTTCAGGAAAATTCGAGTCAACAAATGAGTGAACCTTCATTCATACAATTCCATGAGTTAAGATCATTAATCAATCAGGTTCAAACGAACGTAGCTAAATTGATCAAGATAATTAAATATCATATCAATTTTTCAGAGATAATTGAGGTTCGTAATGATTGTTAATCATCGATTGAAGTAGCTACCGTTGCACCGATGAATAATCTATAAATATCTCCATTTTCTTGGAATTGTTGTTTTCATTTCCTTTGGACGTACACATTTTTGCCACAGTGAATATGAAAAGTTAATCAAAGATGATCAACTTGACATTAGATTGATACGAATAAATGAAAACAAATTGCTCTTGCACCACCAATTCACCAAACCAATCGTTTGAAACCATATCGCACAGAGTATTAATTCATTTTTCCAAGTAAATTGTCATCTCCTTCATCCTACAAAAATAATCAACAATTAACATTAGGCTTTGTCATTTGAAATCTGGTAAAACAATCAAAATAAAGGAGGTATCCCCGATATTAGATAACAACATCAATAGATCACGATGTGCACATACCTTGAGAAATACTAGCATCATGTTAATAGAAAGTTGTAAATTACGATTCATAATTAACGCATCAACAATTAAATTGAAATTTGATTTGATTGTTTATCAGATTGAAAAAAAGTTCATCTGCTCTAATTATCCACCAACAGGTGGCAGTAAATGTCAGTAAATTTTATCTCGTTAATTTCGAAGGCGCGATTTTCAAATGTCAAATTTTCGTAAACAAATTTTGTTTAACAAAATTTTGATTAAATTAATACATTTACACTAAAAAATTAGCACAATTAACTAGACATGATAGCATTAAATTTTCAAGAGTGATTAATAATTTAACAATTTACCAAAGAATGAGAAACTAATTTTCAGCCTTTTCCATCAATTTATCATCGAGTAAATTAATTTCATCAAAAGCTTAAATGAAACAAATTAACTAATTGTTATTATATGACACGAATAATAATAACTATTGAAATTAATTCTATTAACTATTAAATTAACACAAATCAATATACATTTAATTACTCTTATTGTTCATTAGCTTTTATTAAAATACCCACAACACTTCATTAATTACAATGAGTGAAACTTTTAATTACTATTACCTAATTATTGAAATTAAAACAAATCAAGCCAATAACTTTTTCTGATTAAATATCAACAATGAAACTAATTCATTAATCATGCACCAATGAATATCATTAATATATAAACAAGAAAAATCTAAAGTTAATTATATCCAATTGCATGAGAACTGAGCATCAGAACGAGTGAAAACTTTTAAAACACTTTCATAGGGAAAAAAAGTTTTTTATTTCTCATTAATAACAATTAAATTGTTACGAATCTACAAAGATTAAAGTAACACTAATTTCACCAATGACACCCAAACTTAAATTACATTTAATTACCTTGGCATAATAGTTAATTCCTTCATTTCCTTTTCCTAACAACAACAACAATCTAAACCTTATTAATTATCATCTCTCAATGATTGTAACTAATTAAAATACTGACAAAAAACTGTTAACCAAAGCTTGGTGTCAATTAAATTGTAACTTGTTTTCTGTAAGTGATTAAGATTGTAACGTTGGCACCATTCAAAGACCCCACACCAAACAAATTAACGGCTCACGGGTCCATTCATATTTTGTATGTTAATTTAATGATAATCATGATTAAAATAATTTCCTCGTATGTCAACTCGTCCCTTTTGACCTCAAGCTTCCGTTATTATTATTAACATATAATCGCGAACCCTTTTCATATAATTGAGAAGCGTTCATATCGACTCACCTTGTTGCACGTACCATAATAATAATCATGACAGTTAACATGATTATCATGATTGGTGACTGTCTAGCCCACAAGAACATGGTTTTCATTATCTTATATATTATAAATATATAAGATGATTGCCTGAGGGCAAAAAAGGAAAGAAGAGATGAAAATAATATTAAGAAGAAAGAAAAAGTTAAGTGAGAAAAAAAATTTTTTTTCGTAATAGAAATGGCGTAACATGAATGAAGAGATGCTGTGAATGAATTAATGTTTGTTGTCAAGTTAATTGAATTCATCATTTTGGAGAGTTAATTTAAATTAATTTTAATTCGCGGTGATGGTGGTGGTGGTGGTGGTGGTGGTAAATTGTCCATCACGGACTTGGTCTCATCTTCTTGTTGCTCGGTCACACAATCCAAATTAATACCAATGCGTGTTTCCAACTAGATATACTGTATCTTCATCTTCATCTTCATCTTGATCATCATTATCATCATGATATAGTTTTGGAAACACGCACTTTTGTTGTTGTTAACAATTAACTCAGCTCAGAATATATTAAATATATTTAATTTTGTTTCTCTCTCTCTCCCTCTAATCCTGATGATGATGATTAAATAGAGACACTAATCAAGGAGAAACGCGTGTTACCCTACCATCAAATATGAATACAAAATTAGATTGTTAAGATGGTGAATTAAAAACCATTAATTAACTTTTATCAGATGAGATGACCACAAGTACGATGGTCATTATTATTAACTTGATTCATTCATTTTTTTTTTCATTTTCTAGGTGAAACCATTTAACTTTCAAGTCTTGATTCAATTAATGAATGAAAGTTACAATGGTTGGTGAAGACGGAAGATGATTATTACTATTATTATTATTATCATTATTATGATAACGACTTTGATAGTGATTAAAAAAGTTCTGACTTGAAATTATTTCATCGTTTTAATGACCATCACAATGTTGACCACTGTTACTGTTACTAAAAAAAACATTGCATGTCCGAAATCATCACTGACCATCAAGTAGAGTGTTGATTTTATCCCAAACAAAAAGTGGCCTCATTTTTGTCGTTAATCCGATAATTTGTTTATTTTCATTGTTATGGTATTAATATTAATCTAATTTCATTTTTAATTATCGTAACAATTTATCGTAACTATTAATTTCTCGTTTGTTGACAATCTTTCTGATTGTTTATCATTCATTTGTGATATTGGACTTGGAGACAATTTAATTGAACATGAAATGTTTAATTTATATATATTATTATTTAGGATAAGATTTTGTTGATTACAATTTTATTACAATTAAGATTAGTTAATTTAAGATATTGTTGTCGTTGGACTTTCCCTTTGACTTGAGTTATCATCACAATCACCTTGATCGTTACTGATATTCACAGAGATCTCATCAGTATCTTCATCATCTTCCTGATCATCATTATGATTGGAATCATCATTAGTTGTCTCAATATCAATATCGATTTCACTTGATTTCCGTTTTAATGTTTTCGATGGTTTACAATTTACCGTTAATTGTTCAGAGATAACGGGAGATAATTGATTCCTTTTTGGACTTGGTGATCTCGAACTTGTATCATTATGATTATCATTCTCATTGGTTGTGATACACTTTTATCCTTGTGATTAATTTTCGTGTTATTGTTATTGAGGTTCGAGGTGAACTGTTTGAATGTGTTTCTCAAGAAGATACTCAATGTGAAATTCATCAGGACAATATGAACATTTAAAATATTGACATTTAGGAGTAAACATTGAGAAAGGATTAACAAGATTACTGGTGGAGGAAACTAACGAAGAGGGCAAATGATGATTAAGGTTATTGAAGGCACTTGAATAGTGATTATGGTTAAGGTTGTGGTTGTGGTTTAGATGGTGATGTTGATTAGGGTGCGAGTGTGGTGATTATGAGAATGAGAATGAGGGTGAGAATGAGTGTGAGAGTGAGAGTGAGAGTGGGAATGATACGGCGATGAGACTAGATTACCATTAGTATTTGGTGAAAAGTGCGACACTTTAAGATGGACTTTGAAATCTTCTTGATTGGACCAAAGTTGATTACAAATTGAGCATTTGAATACTTTGCACTGGTTCGAGTGTTTCACTTGGAAATGGACTTGCAAGGAAACGTCAGTGTCAAACATTTCACGACAAATTGAACATTGGTACAAGTGATGGGAATGATAATCGATTAGGTGTTTGGTTAGATCATCTGATTTGGTGAATATCTTTTTACAAGATTCACAGGAAAACGATGAAACCATTGATCCTAAATGTGAATTGATTATATGAGATTCAAGTGATTCACTTGTAATTATTGATTCACAATAAGGACAAGGTAAAGTAGATGAAGATGATGAGGAAGATGTTGATGATGATCTTTCAATAGGTGAATTACCATGATGGTGATGGTGTTGATGATGATGTTGAGGTGGTGGTAAGGGTAATGGTAAAGGTGGAAGAGTAGGTGGATGAGGATGAGAAGTAACAAGTGAACCAGATGAATGAATTAGACCAGCAGCCAAATGAGACTTTAAATGAACTCGAAATGATTCAAAATCAGGGAAAGATGATGAAGGTGAACATTGATTACAAAAGAACGGAAGATTTGTTGAATTAAATGATGGAGATGAAGATGCTGATGTGTTGATCATTAAAGGTCCATTTGTTGAAGTAGATGTTGGATGTTGCTGATGATGATGAGGAGATGAAGATGATGAAGATGAGGAGGGTGAAAGGTTCATCAATGGTGACATCAACTTGGGACGTTTAGGTGAACCTCCTTGGGGAGATGGTGATTTACATTTTCCATTGGACAAATTAAGAGTTTGCTTATCATCCTTACACTTGGAACCATTATTATTACGAATGGTGGGTGATGAGGATGTTGAGGAAGAGGAAGATGATGATGATGAGGCAGCAACCGCCGCTGCTGCTGCTGCAGCCGCAGCGACAAGCCCAGGGTTCGGTGGTGGGGGTGGTAGTGTTGTTAATTGTTGCCAATTAGCAAATGCCGAAGCTGAATAGATTGAGTTCTGTAATAGCCCAGCGAATAGTAATTGATGCAAATGAGATTCACGAATATGAATATCAAGTGATGCACATTTATTACCACAAAGACCACAAGTAACTTGTTGTTGTTGTTGTTGATTAATTAAACTTTTTGTATCAAAATTATCTGACCTTCCATTGACCTGGTCAGTTATCTGTAAATAGAAAACGATACATTGAGTAAATATGTAAATTCTTGATAAAATATCGAGAGTTAAAATGTATTAATATTCTTGTATTTGATTTGCTATTTGATAGATTTTTGTTGTTTCTTGTATTAATAGATTAGGAGGATTAATGTTAAACCGATTAACAGATAAACTTTAATCTCTAATTTACCTGTTGGTCAGTTTTAAAGGTCATTTATGTTTTGTTTTATTGTCTTACAAAGTAAATAAGTGAATTACCTTTGTCTTTAGTTTTTGATGTTCGAGGCTCTTTTTAAATGTATCGACTCGTTGGTCAATTGTTGTTGATGGTGATTTTAATGATCGGTGGATAGTTTTCTCGTTTAATAGATTGTGATTGTTGTTCATCCCAATTAAAGGTTTTTTCATATCTAAATTAGTTGATTCTGTTGACATAATACTTGATGGTGTTAGAATTGGTCTAATCCTTGTTGATCCGTTAACTGTTAATCCATTTTGTAATCGTTTACAATTCTGTTTGTGGGAAGTTAAAGCGGCGGCCGTTGAATAGCCTCGATTACAAGTTGTACATTGGTGAGGTTTCATGTGATCATGAGTTTTCATGTGAATTTTAAGATGATCACTTCGAGAGAAAGCGGAATCACAATTATTACATTTATATCGACGATCACCTAGAATTTTGTTGGACAATTCAAGACAAAAAAATAGAGAGACAATCAACAATCAATTGAATCGCTTAATCGGATTATAACAATCAACTTACCTGTATGAATTTTAATATGACGATCACGACTTCGTTTGTGTTTAAATGTCCGTTGACAATATTCACAACGAAAAGGCATCAAAGTTGAATTAATTTGTTCTGATGTAAGAGACATGATGATGATAAGATTTCGGGAGAAAAAAAAAGTTAACAACAGAAAATATTAAGAGAGAGAGAGAGAGAGAGAGAGAGAAAATAAATTGTATCGAAAACAAAATAGTAACAACAAGATAATTAACAACAAGAGATTAATTGTTCAATTAATCAGTTTTATCCATGATGATAATCCGAGAACTAGAATATCAATTGGAAAGAATAAAAAACCAAACAAAATTATGAGAACGGAGGAAAAATGAAATAAGCGTTTAGATGAACGTCAAGAGAGAAACTAAAACCACTTCTTGCTTATTCCCTGAATCGGCTGGTGGCGCTTATCATCTTCCTTATCATCATCATCATCTCTCTCTCTCTCTCTCTCTCTCTCTCTCTCTCTCATCTCTCTTTCCTTCTATTTCCTTTATCTTCTCTTTCTTTTCTTCACCTTTTCTTCACGTTATCTCTATATCAACCTTTTCCTTCATCTCCTATAAACAACAACAAGAAGATGAAGATGAAGAAGAAGAAGATGATAGAGATTGAGAGAGAGAGAGAAGATGATGAAGAAGAAGATGGAGAGAGGATAATAAAGATTGTCTGTCTGTGGGTGGCATAAGAAGAAGATGAAGAGAAGGCGAGGGTTAGGGTGCCTCCGCCGGCCATTTAGGGTGGTCCGAACTTCTTGTTGCTTTATTATCCACTTTTTTCTTCATCTTTATTAGAGTTTTTTTTCTCTCTTCTCTTTCTAATTTTCTTATCTCTCTTTCTTTTTCTCTCTTTCTTCCAGATCATCCTCATTTTTTTCTTCTTCTTCATCACCATCATCACCATCATCATCTTTATCATCATTTCTCTTTCTCTTTGAACTCAATTTCGAGATGTAAAAAAAGGATTGAAACACCTTGATAACCTTGAGAGTCTCTTGGGAATGAAGAAAAATTTTTCTCAACTCAATTAATATTCAATTGGAAACAATCAGTTGATTGTTCATTGACTTAATGTTTATTCAATTACTTTTTCTCCATTTATTTTTTTTTCTTTCTTCTAATTGTCTCAACCTGTTGATTATTTTACGAACCATAAATCAACTAATCTAACAATTAAACTAATTATTCAATTGTAAGGAAAATTGAATCATTGAATCAACTGATTGGAGAGAGAGAAAGAGGAAAGAGAAAAATTCTCAACAATTGAAAATTAAGAAAAAGTTTTATCAATGAATTTTCATGTTAATTGAGATATCGAAATGGTCAATAAATAAGATAACAAAATGTCTTAATTAAATTGTTAACCATTGACATCTCAATTTTGTATAATTTATTTTGAACATCAACCAATGTAAAATTATATCTTCTCAAGGTAGTGGTTAAAGATGATGATGATGAGGAGAGAGAAAGAGAGAGAGAGAGAGAAGATAAACAAGAAGAAAGTAGCTACTATTAGAAGAGGCTCTTCTTCATCTCGCCCAAATTAAAGGTAAACCATGACCCAAAGAAAAGGTTCCTTTGGGTAGGGGCAAGAAGAAGAAGAAGAAGAAGATGATGATGATGATGATAAAGCCTGAGGTAGAAAAGAAGAGAAAGCGATTGAGGGTGAGAAAAGAAGAGAAATAGATAGAAGACTTTTGCCCTGAGGGAAGCAGGTGAAATGATTCACTAATAGAGACATCAGCATCATTGAGAGATGATAATGATGATGATTATGAAGAAGAAGAAGAAGATGATGATGATGATGATCATAGAGCCATCATAGAACCACCCTGTAACCATTATGATTATTCTGGATACCACCATGAGAGGAATTAACTATCAACTCAAAATCGCCCAACAATTTTCATAGTTACAATTGACCTACGTCAAGGTGAGTGAGAATCAGAGATGATGATGAACAAGAAGATGAATAAGATGTTGAAAATGATGATGATGATAAAGATGAAGACCTCTCATTGAGTCGAATAATAATGATACGACCTTGGCTTTGCTCTTCATCATCATTCTTATCTTCATCTTCTCTCTCTCTCTCTCTCTCTCTCTCTCTCTCTCTCTCTCTCTCTCTCTCTCTCTCTCTCTCTCTCTCTCTCTCATCTTAGGATTTAGTGACCTGAAGATGTTTTACTTTTACCTTAATAATAGACAACATTGAGAAAAATAAGTTATTATTACAGATAAAAGTAAAAGATGAGGTGTAATTAGGAGATGATGATGAATATGAAGATGAAGATGTGGATGATGAAGAAGATTATATCCTTAGGGGATTTTATTTATCTTCTCTTTCTTGTCTTTCTTTTTTTTCTCTCTTTCTCCTTCCTTTTTGTAAACAGATTTACCTTTTTCTTTCTTTACCTTTGCTCATTTAATGTGAGCACCCAAGTGATTGTTTCCTTATCTTTATCTTCATCATCATCATCATCATAATTATCTTCTTATCATCATGATTATCATTAGATGTATTTTTATTTTCTTTAGATTGTTAATGATAATCAAATTTTAATCGCAAATAGAATGTTACCTTTTGTTACTCTCAAGATAAGTGAAAGTGGACATAACTGACCAATGGAGTTTTCAAAGAACCACAAAAATGAATGATGACCACACGGAACCATTTCAATATCGCCAACACTTTTTCCCTTTTTCTTTCCCTCTTTCTGGCTGACCCATTCTCTACTTTTCTCTACTTCTATTGACCCAATGTTTCTCTCTCATTCACTTTCTCGTTCAATTGACCCTTTGGTCAACGGTACTGATATTGACCATATGGTTTGGGGTCACTAATAAGGCTCGAAAAAGTCAACTGATCTTCTGTCATTTGAAGATGAAAAGATGTTATTGATGTTTAATGGTAACTATGATTCTTTGGTGTTGACCAATTGAACATTCACTTGGATAAAAAGAAAGAGAGTTGACCATAGTGACGGCGAACCCAGTTGATGACCATCGTTACTCTTGCTGCTTGACCAAAGACCTTTGACCATTTCTCAGTTTGCCTTAAAATCATCAATACATTATAATGGTCAATCATTTTCTTTTCTCTTTCTCCTTCCTTTTGTAAACAGATTTACCTTTTTCTTTCTTTACCTTTGCTCATTTAATGTGAGCACCCAAGTGATTTGTTTCCTTATCTTTATCTTCATCATCATCATCATCATAATTATCTTCTTATCATCATGATTATCATTAGATGTATTTTTATTTTCTTTAGATTGTTAATGATAATCAAATTTTAATCGCAAATAGAATGTTACCTTTTGTTACTCTCAAGATAAGTGAAAGTGGACATAACTGACCAATGGAGTTTTCAAAGAACCACAAAAATGAATGATGACCACACGGAACCATTTCAATATCGCCAACACTTTTCCTTTTCTTTCCTCTTTCTGGCTGACCCATTCTCTACTTTTCTACTTCTATTGACCCAATGTTTCTCTCATTCACTTTCTCGTTCAATTGACCCTTTGGTCAACGGTACTGATATTGACCATATGGTTTGGGGTCACTAATAAGGCTCGAAAAAGTCAACTGATCTTCTGTCATTTGAAGATGAAAAGATGTTATTGATGTTTAATGGTAACTATGATTCTTTGGTGTTGACCAATTGAACATTCACTTGGATAAAAAGAAAGAGAGTTGACCATAGTGACGGCGAACCCAGTTGATGACCATCGTTACTCTTGCTGCTTGACCAAAGACCTTTGACCATTTCTCAGTTTGCCTTAAAATCATCAATACATTATAATGGTCAATCATTTTCTTTTTCTTTTTCTTTTTCTTTTTCTTTTTCTTTTTCTTTTCTCTTTCTCTTAATACTTTCTTTCATTTTCTTTTCTCTAATGAACTTACTTGGACACCTAATTTAGAGTAAAAACCTTAAGCGGTCATCTTTATCTTCCATCATCATTCTTCCCCACTGACCCAACCTTTATACATTCTCCAAGACCTTAAGTCACCCTGTGTGAATCTTTTTTACCCTAAGGTTAAACTGAAATATCTTCATCATCATAATCATCATCTTAGTCTTCATCTCCTTTAATTGGCTTCAGTTTCAAGTTTTTACTTTTTCTCTTCTCTAACCAGTGTTACCTTTGTCAGGTCACTCTCTCCCTTTTCTCTCTCTCTCTCTCTCTTTCTTTCTTTCTCTCTGTCTCTCTAGTTCAAAGGTCAAAGGTTCTTTCTTAGTTTTATATATAATATAAAAAAAGATACAGAATTGAACATATTATTATTATTTAAGTAGATTATAAGAAAGGTAAATATGAATAAAGAATCAGGAGTAACATTGAAGCAAAATTTGGTAGACAAGGAACAATTAGTTTCGCTGTTATATTTATCATCTTCATCTTTACATTTGCTATCCGATGGATATCATCATCATCATCCTCATCTTTTGCTGCCCAATTTTCATCGGTCAAGCCCCTTTCTTCATCTTAATCTTCTCCTTTCTTCTTCAAGTGAATTGACCGGTAACATCTTAATTTTTATGGTTTGGGATAGTCTCTCTCTCTCTCTCTCTCTCTCTTCATTACCTGGGCTCTCTTTCTTAATCATCTCTATCTTCTCATCACTATCATCATTACCATTGCAATGTCTCCATAAAAAAAGTCAGTAACATATAATCATGAAAACAAACAAAAAATGCAAATTAACCTGAGGGCTTAAAGTGCGAAACAAAAACATTTGGTGTAACATTACACCAACTGGACATGAATGGACATTGCAAACGCTAAAATGATAACTTAATCAACAATATAATTACAACCAATGAGTAGTAAACAACAACGACAACAAAAACAATCAATAAGATAATCATTTGTAATCAACAATTTAACAACCAAAAAGTTTACCAAAAGTTGATTGAGTAAAAAATTGATTAGTAAATTCAATTAATTGATAAACTTTCCTAATTAATTTAATTCTCTTGCCAAGTTACAGATTAAGATTAATTTCCAAACTTATCAAAAAGATGAAGATGAAGATGTTCATGTTATTTTTTTCGCTTCTTCATTCACGTTATTGGCTATTTCATCCCAAGAGGATGATGATGATGATGAAGAAAAAAATTGTTGAGGTAATAAGGTTTATTTCTTCTGGGTGGTCGA